CAGATGCGAATTCAGTTGTAAATTTTAATTTGGATGAGAATAAACTTAGTTTAGCAACGGATAACAACAACAATAACAACAATAATATGAACTCTAATCAAATTCATTTTAATAATAATAACATGAATCAAGAATCAGAATTAAATTATTTAATTCAATCAAGCAATGACGATGTTGCTTGTCCAGAATATTGGGCAATATCATTGGAATCTTTAAATTGTAAATTTATATGGAAAGATTTTGATCAAGAAATGGATTTAAGTGATGGTGAATCTTATAAAACACTCCATGAAACAACTATAATTGAAAAATTCTTAGCAATTGCTGGGGTAAGAATGGCTGCAATATTGAACACTTTGTTCATGTGACTTATTATTATATCAGATATAGATAAATAAAATGTACGTTGTTATTTCTCTTTTTAGTTAATTTGCAGATGTACACTTTATTATTTCTTTTCTACTTAAAATAAATAAATCATTACATATAATTTTAAAATAAAGTTTCTATACTATTAATATAAAATCTTCCTCAGTGTAACCTATATATTTTAGTGTTTGCTCAACAACATTCATCATACCAGGTTTTCCGCAAACAAATATTTTACTGTTAGGATTAAGTTTAGATTTTCTCTTATTATTACCAGCAGTAACATTACTATGTGCTTCACTAATTTCATCATCACTCTTTTTGCTATTAAGTTTAATATAGTTTTTATTTACATATGAATCTCTATATCGTTGTGGTGGTGATGATGGTAGTAGTGGTGGTGATAATGATGGTGGTGATAATGATGGTGGTGATAATAATGGTGGTGATAATAATGGTGGTGACGATAATGGTGGTGGCGTTCTATAATGTTGAGCATAATTATAACTTAAAGCACTTTCTGGATTAATTGATGTTCTATAAGTGTTCTGATTATTACTAAACACTATACTTGGTGGTGGAGGTTTTGTATGATGTGGTATTATTGGTGGTCGATTATCATTATTATTATCATATGATAAAGGATTATAAAATTGTGGTGGATTTGTACTAGTTGGCAAATTTGTTGTATTTGTATTAATATCATCATCACTATTATTAAGTTGTGATTGACTTGTATTAATTGGCAAATA